TGTCTGCCCTCCCTTTTTTGAGGCGGCTTGAGTCTCATCTTTGGTGCATGTATCATCTTACTCTCTTCCTCTCCGCCTTTCTCCCCTTTTTGATTCCCAGCCTCATTTTATTCCCTGATGTCTGAGCAGCAGAAAAACATCAGCAGTTTGAAGAAGCAGGGCAATGGACATCGACAGAGATGAAGAGATCCCCACCACCAGCACCTGCCAAAATGGGCATTATTAGGGCAGAGGAGGGAGCGCAATACTTTCACACTGTCTAGTCAGAGAGCCCATGATCAGAAAACCCCAATATCAGAGAATCTGCCTCTCTACCACTTAAGAAGCAAGAGCAACCACCCTCCCTCCTCAGACTGCCAGGGAAACACACAAACTATACAGAGAAAACAAACCTGGGCTATGTGATGACCAAGCTAGTGGATGAGCAAAGACATGTGCTATGTGTTTTGTCCAACACGCCAGGTGCTCATGCCATCCAGCAAACGGTTGCGTATTCAGTCCCATTTGCATCAGTCTCCTGAACCCACCTGCAGCCCTCCTGGCCAGCTAATGGCTGAATTTTTCTGCTGGAATACACTGCTGTTGTATGGAAACACCATGACAGAAGGAACTGTGATCTTTTAAGGCAATAAAGTTCCACAGAGGTTGAGGTGGGCTTTGGACTGGTGGAAGAGCAATGAAGATAAAGGAGGATTCAGGGAAATGTGCTAATGGAAACTCTTTTACAAAATTGATGGGCCATTACCTTTTCTCTCTTCCTTGTTAGTGAGCTGCTCAGAAAGCAAAGGGCATGCACCAGCAGTTGAGAAGGGGAGACAAAACCCAACCTGAGGAATGATTAATGTACAGTCCTGCAGCTTGCAAGTGAAAAGAACAACCCTTTTATAGCTTCAGTAGGCTGATATTTTCCAACATGCTTTTAAAGCCCAGAAAAAAACATGCCACGGGCTGCTTGTTAAGAGGCAAACATAGCACTGACCATTACTCACTGTATACCTGTGATACCACAAATCCTCCATGTGACAGTGACCTTACTGATCTTGACATCAAACTATTTAAACAAGTATGAGGACTTTTCTTATTAACAAATAATATTAAACGAATCATCATGGCTCTGGTTTCAGTACAGCAGGAGAGGAAGACTGTGCAGAGTACAGTGGCTTTTACTGTTAAAAGACCCCATGACATCACCTAAGAAACAGAGTCTGCCGAAAGGATGGACAGATACAGTACGTTTATTTTCCTTTAATGCCCATATATACGTATCAAACATAGGTGCTCGGAGTCTACACATATATACACACACACATACATACATAACCACCAACTTCTTTTGTGGAAACCTGCTTTTGTTCACGATTTTACCAAGGCACTCTGGCCTTTCTTAAGGTCAAACATATTTTACTGACTGATTAATTGAAAACAAGGGATGCTACCTTTCGAAACACGAAATTGCCACACAGCCTAAGTCAACAAAACGATGAAGCCTCTGCTTATCACAGAACTGTTTTAAATAAAGTAACTCTAGAGGTCAAGATAATAGTGTAACGTATGGAGAGAGTGATTACAGCTTCCTGGAAGACATTTCTGCCTGAGGTGAGTTAGCAGACACATCCTCAGATTAAACTTTCATCAGCAGATCTCTCTATTTCATCAATCTTTCATTACGGCATAGCTTAGAAAATCATCTGGTCACGTGTCACTAAAAAAACCTTTTCATCTTCCAAAGCAAAATCTACCCAAATAAATTACTACAAGCAAAATACAGTTAAAAAAGGACGCTCTGCAGATTGTTATGGGGTTCAAATAGCTCAAAATAGAGGAAAATATACATTTCTACAATATTTTAAAATTTAAACACTGCCTTTCACAATAAATCCAATGTATTTTATTATACAGCCTCTTGGACCAGAAGGTGTAGCTAATTAACAACATTCATGTGCAACAACTTCTGGAAGAGCTTCATCCCAGAAACTGGGATTTCATCATCTTCCTGGACAATTAATCCACCAAAGCAGCAGTGCATTCCCCTCACTTTTCTCTGATGAAGGCAAACTCATAATCACAGAAACCTGCTTTTGCAATCACTGAATGGCCCCGGTGTTTCTCACCTCAGGACCAATAGGTAATTTTACCAGGATAAGCCCAAGGACTGCATTTGAATGTGTACATGAAAAGATATGCAGTGCAATTTCCAGCTCAACAATATGGTTTTCTCAGCTCAGGTTCTTTTGTCACCAAATGCTTTTTTCTTGCGTTTTGGTGCTTCTTCAGCAAATTCTACAACATTTATACTACCCTTAAAGGATGTTTCCTATGCTGAACCTCTCTACGGTCAAAACACATTGTACAGCTGGCTACTCAGTCATAAGTGTGTTCTTTCTGCTTGTCTTTTGGATCTTCTACCTGCTATTTAACATCACATGCTGTTTGACTTTACTTACAAATAGTGGCTACACTGTTTTACCTACAATCTTTTTTTTTTTTAAAATGGGTAATAAACAAATTACATTTCAAAAAGAATGGGCTCCAGTCCTGAAAGCCATACTGGGGACAAGATTTCTGTAGAAGCATCTATTAAAATTCTTATGAGGGGCTAAGAATAGGAAAGCTCTGAAATCAAACTTCTTATGATGAAAAAAACCACATTCCATTAAGAGTGGCTAAGAACATTACTGTGCCAGCAAATGAAATATTAAGGCTGTTTTTGATTGTGTGTTTTTATATTAAACCTTCAATACATTATTTCATGCTGTTCTTTACAGCAACCAATCAAGAAAAGTCATGTTCTCTAGAAACAAGAAATGTTCAGTTTCAACACAGAAAGGCCAATTCCCTCTTCTGATAGCAGAAACATGCGAAGAAGATTAGTTTATTTGTGCTACTACGTTCTCTGTATTGTCAATATCACAAATAAAATCTCTTTTCAGGCCAAGAGTAGAGGAAGCTTGTACCTTTCATGACCAAGAGGGAGATCACTGGGTTTGTTTTGTTTTGTTTTTAAACTTTGATGTGTACTTCACCCACATACTCTGTAACTACAATATTTTTCTTACCAGAGACAGGAGTTTCTGCAGAAGCCTCAAGAGAACCAGAATTCATCTTTGGTCCCCAGATAGGGCACGAAACTGGGCAGGAGTGGGATCAGAGGTGCTGTTTCCTGTGCCTTGTACATAGCTTTTGTCAATGGTGTGGGACACCATGGCAGGTCAGAACAGACAGCATGACCTGCACACACACAACCTTTCCCACCAACTCCTGTCCTCCTGATGGGGCTTATATTCATCTAGGAGGCTTTGCTATTGCCTCACATCCCTGGATAGGTTTCACCAAAAGCTTATGACATTCTTGGTGCCACATGATTGCAAAAGGCACATTTCTCTTAAATGTCCCCTTTCAACGTCCACGTTTCTATGACCAGTTCTGTCTTCAGGAGAAGTATGTATCCAGTCTAGAGAAATGTGACTCGTTATCTTATTTTATAAACAACATAATGGAATGATTTTCTTTTCCAAAGAAATGTAAATATTTGAAAAAAGAACTGTAAGTACTTAAAAAAAATTAATGAAAAGCAAAGCTGGCTTCCTTTACTCTGTAAAGCTGCATCACATTTAGGTGCCCCTGAAGATGCTCTATTTATTTCCTGACCAAAGCAAGCTACTACAATATCTGACTTGAAGGGAAATGTGCAATGCACTCATTTTCTGAGGCAAACAAAACACTGTAATGGTTTATTCATAAGAAATTAAAACCTCTTTCCTTCCCACCATTTCAAACTGGATTTGCCCATTCTAGATCTCTCAAAAGTCTGCACCAATGGGAGTGAAAAACAGTAAAAATCCCCAAACATCAGTCATTTATAGAAGTAAAAAATTTAGAAAGATGGAATTGGACCACAGAAACACTTATCACCTTTCCTTTTGGAAATTTAGCCAGAGATAATCAGAAACTTTGGGGGGGATTAAAGAAGTTTCACAACATCTTTTACTGGGAAAGATTTTTCAGGTCCAAAATAACATTTCTTGTCAAAAGTCAGAGACAAAAAGACCCCCACCCCTACTATTGCAAATATCTCAATAATCAAACATGGACACAAAAAGCAGCAGTTCTCTAGTGTGATTCAATCCTTACTACCCCTGTGTCAGGATGAGTACTGCCAGAAAATCCTGGAATTACTCAATGTGAATGAAAACGTTTTTGACAGATCAAAATGCTCAGCGGGATGGGGAAACGGCTCGCTGTCCCGCTCTAAATAAGTGACCTTCACAATCCTGTTCCCACAGCTATGTTACATGACAAAGAAGGATGCTACCAAAAGACGACCAGTGAGGAAGGAAAGCTAAGGAAAGACTGCCTCCGGCACGCACTTGTTGCTCCCTACAGCAAGGAAGAACTTCAGCTCGCAGCAGGCAGGTTTCAGGGACAAACCTTAGTTTTCTGCAACACCCTTAGGAATTTTCTTGCATCAAGATCTTTAAGTAATAGTAATGGCTTAAACCCATTATTTTTCCCTCAATCCAAGTTTTTTCTCCATCAAATCAAATATCTCAAGAAAATGGAAACAAATGCATACGGTCAGAGTGTAAACAGTGCATTTAACTTGGACCAGCAGGCAGACGTGCTTCTACATAGCCAGGAGAAACATACTATGGGACATTATTTGAAAACATGGTTTTATATAAAAAAAGTATATATATATCTGAAACAAAATAATGTTGCGTGTGCAGTTTTATGCACCTGGCTGAAATCATCTGAAAGGTTTGCTCAATACAGGTTTAGCAAAACAGCATATAAGTGATAAACTATGAAAAGCAGAGATTTTTAAAAGTAACACCAGCAAGAAAAAGAAGAATTTACCCATCCTGCCGTAGCCCCTGGGACACAATTACTCAATCAAATGAATAGGTTTCATACCTAACTTGCTCCAAGTGTATGTGTACTCTGTATCAGCAGACAGAAATAGCACCAAGTCAAGAGGGATAAGGAGAGCGAAGACTCACCGGCCGTTGTCACGACCCACTCCCCAGACTCTGATGCTCACAATGGGCTGCGAATGAAGAACTGTGCGGTCCATGGGGTCAATCAGGTTCAGCATGTCATTTTCCAGTATAAGGTACATGTCTTTGCCCTGCAACTCCAGACAAAGTACAGTTACACAGTACATCCCCCTCTCAAACTGACTGGGATCAAGGTGTTATGCCTATGCTGTTTAGACGTGCATCCTCTTAATTTACTCAAAGTTTCGGTTTGTTCCAAGAGCAATTGAAAACAAGTTCGCTTACTTCTGGTGTGAAAAAGATCTAAGATAGTACCTTGCTACTACTATATTTTTAAACAATCCCAATCACAAAAAGCTTTGATGTCTTTTAAATGCAACTGTTTGACTCATTCAACCCCCAGCTACTGAGTTATTCAACAAATTATGTGTTTATCCTTTCTCCAGTAAATTCTTCCAAATATATGAGAAATCAAGAACTGTCGTAATAGTAAAAGCTTACATCAAAACCTGTACTCTTAAGGCAGAGTTTCTTCCTTCAAACAATGTGCTTTGTTTCCATAAACTTTAACCAATGGGTCATGGGAACAGACAGCAATTTGTACATGTCAAAGGATTTATAGGATACTCTTTGAAGAAAGATTAATTGAAGGGGAAAACCTAACATTAAGACATGAATGTGAATTCTGCTGGTGACTGCAGAATCCTGGAGCCAGGATTTCTCCCTAGTTCTTCTGGCATGCAAGAACAAGGAGAATGCTTTTCCTCTTAGAGGAAACAAATTTAGATGCAATTTTCCTTTTGATGCTAACTCACAAATGCTAATCTTCCTCCTATGGCTAGCATTTGCAAAAGGTCTGCTGCCTCTTCTATCACATCTAATAGCTCTCTTCTCAGAGGCTGTACACCTACTCTGCAGACCGCGAGATCCCACGGGAATTCCAAATGATGAACCTATTGCTGAGAGGTAAGACAAGCTCCTGCTGATAACAAGAAGAAAAAGGTGGGAGCTATCAGCTAAATATAGAGTAATTTGTTTCCCTTCTGTTGTGCCAGAATCTATAAATGAACAGAAAGAATGGAAAGGGTCTGACTTCCTGCTGGCAAATATTTCAAAAATGACCTTTTTCTTCACCTCAGTGACACAGAAACCCTCTTCCCACTTGGTTACAGCGGCTCAGGTCTTAATGACGTCTAATTTTGTGTCTGTGTAAGACACACATTCATGTCACCCTGGGAGGGCCTGCTTCCAGGGTTTCCAGGCTAGGCAGCAAGGGGCAGGCACTGCCAACAAGCTCTCCCACCCCCGGATCTCCTAACAGGGATTCAAAGGGGAGCTGTGACACTGAGCTGGCAGCACAAACGCTGAGAGGGGTGAGGGGTGTGCGAGAGGAAGGGGACATGGGCTCTGCTGACAAATATTTCAAAAATGACCTTTTTCTTCACCTCAGTGACACAGAAACCCTCTTCCCACTTGGTTACAGCGGCTCAGGTCTTAATGACGTCTAATTTTGTGTCTGTGTAAGACACACATTCATGTCACCCTGGGAGGGCCTGCTTCCAGGGTTTCCAGGCTAGGCAGCAAGGGGCAGGCACTGCCAACAAGCTCTCCCACCCCCGGATCTCCTAACAGGGATTCAAAGGGGAGCTGTGACACTGAGCTGGCAGCACAAACGCTGAGAGGGGTGAGGGGTGTGCGAGAGGAAGGGGACATGGGCTGGTATATGCAATGCCAGCACAAGAACATTTTGCCTGATGGAAAAAGTACAGCTGTGGCTGAGATGCAAGGCTGGATATATAGGCTGCTCCTAGAGAAGCAGAAATAGATGTAGCTGTGATAACCATGCATGTAAGTGGAGCAAATCAGCAGCATTGAACTGCTTGTGGCACGCAGAAAAACAAACATGGGAAATGTTCTGTGAAAACACAGAAGCCAGGATGGCACCAGGTAGACCAGGATGATGAAGGAAACCAAACAGAAAACAGAGTCATCACAAAGAAAAAGGGTGAGAAATTTGCTTGGAGGTCAGAAGCAGTAAACAGATTGTGTGAAGAATGTTACCGAGTGTCACAAAGATTGCTTTTTGGACCCATTTTCTACTTATATATTTATTCCAGAAGGAACTTATTACAAGAAGGTAAAATCTGTTCATCATGCAAAATACACTGGGATTAGGGTAGTAAAAAAACTGTATCCAAATTAGCTGGAAAAGATTGGAGAATGGGCAGATAAGCAACATAAGTCACAGAAAATTATCCTTGCAATGCTCAAGGGATAGCTTGGCCGCAGCCAGAAGCAATATATTTTGCTTGTTGCCTTATTATACAAAAGCTATTTCAGAGATGAAAACACTGCAGAGGGCAAGGAGAAATAATTTAGACAGACTGGGAGCTTGAACATAGGCCTCGATGTCTCAGACTGCTGAAGAGCTGCAGAGACCTGACGGTCCAAGACGAGGAAGGCTCTCGCAGGAAGAGCCACGCAGGGAGAGCGAACGAAGGAGAGAAAGACTCAACCCCCGCTGCCTTTCAGGGAAGTGTTATATACTGTGCTATACAGGGCAATGGCAACAATGTATCTTTTTCATGTAAGTTATTTTGTCACTTACAGCAATACAACGCATGGCAAAGTAGCAACACAAACAGATGAGCTGTGGTTTTCTTCTTAGATTTTACAGAACCCTGGAAGTTAGAAATTTACAGGGAATTTCTTTTGGAGGGGAGTGGAGGGCATGAAATCCCATATTAAAGCCAGTGACAAAGCTTCTGCAGGGTCAGGATTTTACCCAGACTGTGGGTTTTTTTGTGTTTTGTTTTGTGTTTTTAAATCATGAAAACTTGTGGATGGTCCTCGTCCCAATTTCACTTTCATTACATTCTAGCTAAAATAAATCTTTAGGCAATCTTAAAACCTCTATCTGCAGTCATCAGTTCTAGCTTCATAATAGATTTCTGCTGTATGTGCTCCATCTGATATGTCAGTGACAGGCACACTTTTTTCAGATTCCTCTCTAAAACGTGCCTCTTCCAATCACTCTTGAAGCATTACATTGCCAGCAGAAAAATGTGGCTGCAATGATTTCTTTTAAAATCAAGAAGACAATTTACTTCAGGAGCCACCTATTCAAGCACAGTGTCTCTCTTGTTTTGTCAGGCTGATTTTTTTTTCTTATTTTTTTATGAATTGCATTCTTAATTAAAACTTCCATCCAAGAGGACCAAAACTTTTCACCAGTTTGGCTTGAAAACCTGCAAGGGTTTCCAACAAAGAACAATGGGATTGACAGAAATACGTAAACCTGTGAACATCAACTCTTAATAAAGCACACAATTTCAAAGTAAACTGTGTATTTCAAATTGATCAAAGTTCTATCATCTGAAAAATGGATGGGATTACACACGTGTAAAGAGAGTGGGATTTTTTCCCTCCCAGGGTCAGCAGTAAGTCCAAAGTCCATGACTGACACATCTCTTAATTGCTTGCCTAGCTATATTAACTCAATAAAACTGTTCCCAGAAGTAAGAAAAAGGGAGACCAATGTTATCTTGTTGATTTATACGTACAACATACATTTCTTATATAGAAAAAACCTTCTGAAATTACTTTAAGCAGATAGGGCACTCTAAATGTGTCCCTTGAAACCTCACTTCCATTTTTAAACAGGCACTTTCTCCCAGTTGCTCCTCTGAAGAGCCTCTGCGTTGTTGTGGTCATAGCCAGGACACGGGACTCAAGCCTTGGACTGTAACAATAACTGCGGAGACTGAAGGATATTTTTCCTACAATTTTTACTGAAATAGACAAGTGTGTCTTTTAATTCCTCTTCTGTTTGGCAGTGCCATTTCTCTTAGATCACACAAACAAAGCTTACAGCATTCACTCTTGCATCACCTTTGCATTCAGATCTTGTGTAGTAGGATCCACATTAGTGTAACCCTCCTGAAAACATGTCAGGAGAGAGGGAGAGAATGAGATTTGGCTGAAGTTTGTTCCATTAACAATTAAATAACTAAGATGTTTTTCTACGGGTTTGTCTCCTACATCCTCTGTAGGTCCCACCACTAGAACCCCACCTTTTCCTTTCTTCTTGTTTCACTTACTGATCCCTCCACAGCTTCCACTCCTTATCTGTCCTCAGCACACCTCTTTTCCAAAACACAATGCCTCTGGCTTCCTTCATGTTCCCCCCTGAGCTCCCACAGAATTATCCTGTCTTTGCTGCCAATTCAGAAAGAAGCACAGAGCTTGCATGGTTCAGTTGATGAAGGTGTACTGACCCATCAGCAAACCAAGACAGAGGGGAGCTGGGCACCCTGTTTTTCCCTCAGTGTGTGGGAATTTGGCATCCTTCAAAACTGGATAACACTGGTGAACAGATTCAAGAGTTATTGGAAAGGAACCAACAGACAGACTGATGACATAAAATTAATTTCCTTCTGAAACACTGATAAAATAATCATCTTAAAATAAGCCATCTGTCCATCAGTCTCAATCTTACACATTTCAGAAGCACGAGTCACACCAGTCTGGGTTTCCTTAAAGCCTTTTTGTCACTGCGAAACCTGTGAAAATGCTGTTCCAAAGCACCACTCTTAAACCTCTGGTCAGGACAAAGACTTGCACTGATCTCAACAGTTTGGCTTGCGTGTCCCCAACACTGTTATTGCACAGGTGTGTACTAGCACAGATGTAAACACGAAGGTGAGATCTTTGTGGCATCTGCTGTCCTGAGCAGCTTGGATCAAAAATGTCAACACTTTCCTTGAACTCTTTTATAGTTTTTGGCAGTGCCAGCTGGGATAGGGAAATCTCAAACACAGAGCATGGACATATTTGCTTACAGAGTTGTTCTTTCAAGATGTTTTATGACACAACAGGGATGTTCCAAGAGGAGGAGAAGTTCACTCTGTTCTTACCTCTCCCCAAATGCCAACAGTGTCTCTGATGTCATTTTTACAGTAAGAGAGTTGTCTGATGCAATTGTTCACAGCAACACTGCTTTTTCCAGGAGCCAGATCTTCTTCTGCCATTTCTACCCAGCCCAGAGATCGCACAGCAAAGCACTAAAAAGAAACCAGAAAATATCTGAACATGAATCGGAGCACACAACATGCTGCTGTATCCAGATATGCAAATCTTGTCATGCAGCAGCAACAAGTCAGTTAAGGTTAAAGATCCACGGCTAGGAGGAGAACAAAATCAAGGCCTTGTAGATGACCTTATGCTCAAAGATAAATAAATTAAAATATAATTTGAGAATGGCAAAGTGAAAACGTTCGAAGGAACAAAGAAGAATATGTGACTTGCCAGGAAAGGTAGCTGCGGAGGTAACAGTAATGCTTTACAATAAAATACTTTTGCTAATATAAAGGAGGAAACAAGGGAGCAGTAAATAGTAGGACACACAAAACCAGAAAAATAAAGGAAAAAGCACAGCTACAGATACAATAGAACTGAAATTTTAGCTAGTATCTAGAGCTGTAATTGAAAAGAAAGAAAATACTATTGGATTACGTCTGTTGTGAGATTCACACTCACCGTATATCTCACTGCCTGGCTTTTAACCAGAAAATTAATTTTTTTTTGTGGATTACAGCAATCATTTATACAGTAAGTATAACTAAGGTAGCAAACAATAACAAATTCAAAGCATTAACAAAAAGATAACCTATCATAAGAGGAAAGCAGGCTTTTTTTCTAGAAGAAATAAAAAATGACCTTTAAAATAAAACAATCTAATTATACAGTTTTTTAGCAGAAGGATGTTTAGCCAACCAGAGCACTCAGTTGGCAGAACAAGCCAAGGCGACATTACTTTGCACATATGGTGCTTTTTGCAAACAAAACAAAATGGGAGAAATTGAACGGCACCATCTCTGCCCTACATCTACTAGAGTAGGGAATAAAAAAACTTTAATTCTGAAAAAACACTGTGCATTTGCTCTCAGGCTTTACGATGGGGGAAATACAGACCTCACACTAAGTCAATGGGAGTTTGTCCACAACACCAAGATTTCCTCCGGAGAACATCATGGGTATATCTCATTCTCAAATGGCAATGCACCGCCAGCGACAGATGCACAACAGACTTACTGGTGTTCCTCCTTAATAGGCACACCAACATTTATGATTGTCCCTAAAGGTTCAGCAATAATAGTTCCTTAACAACCACATACCAAATTCCTGCT